GCCCGGAATGTTGGCCAAATATTTTTTGATTGACTTGGAGACAGTTCCAGTTGCTCCTATAATTATTGAGATTCCTCCTGCTTTCACTTTCCACATTCGCTGTATTTCAATGAGAAGGTCCCTTTGTATGTTCCACCTAATATAACAGTAAATATCTCTTAAAAATGTTTTATAAGTTCTTTATGATACTTAGCGTAAACAGGGATTACTTCTTTGAACAGCATTACCCAGTTGTCAGCTGTAATGGAGAAGAGTTGTTTCCTTTGCAGTACGGACTGAATTTTTAAATGTTATTTAAACTAGCTTCGGCTTTAAAGTGTTAAATATCATGTGAGTAGTTTCTCTTGTAATCAACTAGGTTTATTATTTTTCATCAGTTTGATCCAAATTTTTCAGTGGCGGCTTAACAATAACAAGAATTTTTTTTTTTTTTTTCAGTTTTGGAAGTACGCTTAAATGTTCCCCCGTGATTAATCTTCACGTCCTCAAAGTTCAAAGAAATATACAGGTAAACTTTCACGCATTCTAAATTTCGACACCATGAAACTTATTGAAAAGAAAGATGGATTAGACTTTTGACGTGTTGGCGAAGAGAGAAATTCCATTTCTCCGACCGGGAAACAGGGCGCAATCAGCAACTGTATTGACAAATTTGGTAACAGTTTCTTGTGCTTGGATATTCCTTCCGCGTGGCATACTTTGCCATAAACTTAACCCTTGTGTGATGAGTAATAGTACCGCATATTTAATATCCTCTACCGTATTAAATGCGAACTAACATGCTTCCAGAAAGGGACAAGTTTTTCAGAGACAAACACCTTACAGACTGCAACATAAACTACTTTCCGATTCCATAAACATTTGTCTATGTCACCCACCGCCTTGTGGCAGGTGGAACGCTTCAAATGGCCTTGAAGTGGCGTCCCACTGTGTTTCAGACCTTACATCAAATACACAAGACCCGTGCCATAAGGTCTTAATACGTTGACCTCACAGCAAAGATTTATCCTACATCAATTAAAAAGTTATTCATTGGGTTAAAATATTCTCGGTGACATTTCAGGCTATCATGGCGGCGACCACAAAGATTACTGTCTTCTGGGATGCGGTCTGTTTATCCCCTCTATCATCAGGGCGATGAGTAGATGAGAATCATATTCTTTAAAATACTCTATTTTATGAAAGTAAAATGTCTACCACAGTGTTCACAAATTTCATGGAGGTCATCTTCCTTGAGAAGCTAACAGTTTCTCAACTGATGAAGAAATTTCCTGCATATTATAAAACCCTAAATTCCATTTCCGTCTTCATAAGAGTCCATGTCTGGTCCCAGTCCTCTGCCAGATGAATCTAGTCCTGCTTCGTATTTGGGAGGTCCCTGGTTCAAATCTCGTCCCAGAGACCGGCTGTCCTAACTGGGGTTTCTCGTCATTTTTCTCAGTCCGACCACTCAAATGCCTGGATAGTACCTTAAATTAAGTCATCGCTTATTTCAACATCTTTTCTAATTCATTATTCACTGGCATCTCATTCTTCTCATTCGATAATCTGAGCTACTAAAACTTGTCGTTCAATAAATTGTAAATAAAACACCTTTGAGTTCGGTTATCGTATACGTAGGGATATTTATGAGTAGGATCTTAGATTGTCACGGCTTTGAGTATAAGGATAGCTGTTTTCTGGATTGTGCCGTGTAGTCTGGTAGACGTTCACCATTGTTTGAGTGGTCTTAGCTACTTCCATCATCAGTGCTTTTAACTCTGAAGTTAGTCATATTCGGGAATATTTCTAACGTCCAGACGTCCATCTCTGGAACTATATTTAACTTGTTTTCCTTTAGTCGTGATGCTTAGTCGTAGGTACAGTTTGATCAGAGATGTAAGTTGTGATGCTGGAAATGGTACATATGTGAATGATCCTTAGCTTTAGGCAAGAAGCACAACACTGCCGATTCATTATCTTGTTTCTGTATAACCGGATATATGAACAACATAATCTCTCCCGAGTCCAGATAAGTGTTTGTATGAAATGTCTTTTTTTACAAAAAAACACGAACTGTATGTTCCCACCAACGGCTATATTGCTTCTAATTATTGATTAATTAACAGTGATTTATATCGCCTTTACGTGTAAAATAACCAAGTTGTAAAGGTAAATTAGTTTGTTCATACGAATACAGTCGCCACACCTATACAAGTTTCCCGAACTACGAACAAACGACTGTGGATTTACTAATTACAATACTTCATTATGTTTTCCTACTTCTCATTCACGCCGCATCGCGTCGCCCTAGTCTACCGAATATTGGATCATGTTGCTGGTGGCTAATGAGTTCCAAGGCTCGATTACTAATCAACACAAGCCGTCTAACAAAAATATAGTTTTCTGGTCACGAAAACAAAAGCTCGTTGACTAAACGAGTTAGGACGAAATTTTGGTGTTGATTTAATTTGACAGGCTCCTACGCTGTTGTTGCCTTCGACCCACGCGTTTGTTTGTTAAGTCTCCTGTACAGTTTGTTTCCAGCCAGTCTTCTCTGCAGCTGCTGTGTGACCCAATTTTTCGGTGAACATCTCGCAGTGAAACCTAAACAACACTTCTTACTACAGAAATAATCGCATCTTTCCTACCTGTGTTTGTATTCTTTTTTTTAAAATTTCATCTGTTTCTGAAATGGATGCAGCTAAGTCTGGACTTGTCTGTCTGTCCGCATGAATTCATCTCGAGAACCATTGGATGGATTTGTATGAAATTTGATATGTTAGTATTTGATATTTGCTGTGAATGTTGTGAGATTGGCAAATATCCAAAAATCGTATTTTTTTAATGGTATTTGATATTTGCTTTGAATGTTGTGAGACTGGGAAATATCCAAAAATCGTATTTTTTCAATTTCCTATAACCTGACATATCAACATGGCGGGCAGAGAAACACGTGAGGTGGTATCGACACCACGGACAAAGAAACACGTGAGGTGGTATCGACACCAGTGCCATACAATGATGTACGGTTATAGATCTTCAAAAAATACAGAAATTTGATGTAATAATTCTTTGTATGTTGTAAAATAACATGACGGTTGCACGAAAGATAGAAGGATTTTGATTTGACTAGGATTGGATCCCATGACCCCATGAGTTAATACATCATGTGACGTATTGGTATTGACTGTCCTTAAAAAGACAACTAAGATCACATAATTTTTGTAGGTGAAAATCAAAGTTATTTAAGATAATTGATATAATCTTTTATTAATAATTCAAAATTTGCAAAGAACGCTTTTGTGTGTTCCAGTACGTATTTCACATTTCTAGTCTTGTTTCTTCTTATCCGTGTTTATCTGTTTTTTTCATTAGTTTTCTACTTGTTCATATCGTGGTTAAGTGCAGTGTTTAAAAGCTCCTTGGTTTGACCGCAACTTTAGTCACTGACGTTAAAAATGAAACGACAACCAGTCATCTGAAGATTGGAATATAAACACTCGTCTCGCCATGTATATCAAAAGCCCTTCGCCGGACAATGTAAATGCCCGACATAATATCAGCGGGCCTTAATAAATCAACTATTGTCACAAACCTTCAGAATATCATATGACTCACCGCTTTCTAGCATTGATGGTGTTAACCTCCAACACCTGTAACATTTCTATTGCTGACTCCTATTACAATAGATTAGAAAGGCATCATGGAGCATAGCTTTTTCGGAATAGATCCACGGCCATGTCTCCAAACACGGCTCTTGATTATGCCTCACGACCTCGAAATCTTTAGGCTGGTTGCTGTAGCGACCTCACATTGTAAATGGTGGTGACTGATTTATAAGAAAGTTTGGTATGAAGGTCGTGTCACCAGACATCATACTTAAACAGTACTGTTAAATACTTCCCGCCAGCTTCGAAAGTTACATTCCTTATCATATTTGGTACTCAAGTTCGAATCTCAGCAGGGAGTTTGTTCAGTCCTTTAAAACAAATTATGGACCGGCACCTTTAATAAAGTCGGGATTTCAACCTTTGTGAGGTCGCGGCTTACTTTTGCTATGTTCTAGTAAATCAGTGATTCTGAACCCTTTGGTGCCTGCGTCACACTAGAATTAAAATAAGGTTTTTAAGGCAGTGGGTATAAAGCTGGCTGTCCTCTGGTTTTTTGAGTCGTGTAATCTGGTAAAAGTTTAGCAACGTCATTCATCAAAAGTCTATATGACTCTACAACCCAGAAGACAGCCATCTCCTTACTCACGAGCGTGAGAATTATCAAATCCTACTTGTTGGGATTTGTTTCTGGAAACGGACTGTCACTACCACAAGATGAAAGCAACTATAAATAATTTTATCTATGCTAAAATATAACGACTCCAGAAAGCCGGAAAGTGCTGTTATTTGAACCAGGCCCTGACCCGGCCCGCGAGTCGGGTCAGGGCCGAGCCAATGTAGACCTCCAAAGCCATATGCATGTGTTGAGTCTGAATCCAATTAAAAGCAGTTTGTTTTGACGCAGAAGTTTCGGCGCCAAGTGTTCCAAGTGTTGTCGCGGTATCTCTGCTAGTGACTGGGTACGCAAGGCGAGGGATCACGTGTACCACCTGGCGTGCTTCGCTTGTGACTCCTGCAAGAGACAGCTGAGTACGGGTGAGGAGTTCGCCCTGCACGAGGACCGTGTACTCTGCAAGGCGCACTACCTAGAGATCCTGGACGGGGGCAGCACCTCTTCGGACGGTGAGTTCTCGAAACAACCCGTCAACTATTGACGAGATCATCAGATATGTTATCATTGTCAAGGTAGGCCCGAAGGTCTATTCAGATCAAATAGGAATCTTCGTAGGTCGCCCGATGCCTCTGCGCTCCACAGGTTTATACGTCACATTTTGTCGGACTGATTGGCGTAAGTTCATTCGTCCAAGGACTTCATGCCAGTTTTCTTCCCTATCTTGAACATTTATAGCATATTTCGAACAGAGATTTATCTCATCTCGTCAGGCGTGAACCAACGACTTTTCTAAAAAATCTAATTCAAGGCGTTTCAGTTCCACCTTTGTCTCCTTCATTTAGAGCAAAATTCTCACATCTAAATAAAAAAACAGGAGTAGCCTTTACTTTACTTCAAAATTGTATCCTTCGTCGTTCTGAGTAAGAATTGTGGTTCTCACGGCAGCGAATTTGTTGATAGCCGGCTCTCTTCTGGTTAACTGTGCCTTAGACTAGTGAAAGTTTGCCGACGTTTCAGAGGCACTTGCTGCTTCAGTCTTCATAGCGATAAGCAGGCTTTTCTGAAACGTCAGTAAACGTATACCAGAATACACGGAACAATACAACAGAAGACAGTCATTTGCTTTGTGGTTCCGCTCATATGCTGAAATTTTAATAATATGTTTTGTGTTTATTGTGGTTGTAGGATAAATGCATATGGTAAATATAATAAATATACTCTGTCTATTCCACATTGGAATCTGTGACATATTTTGCGTAGGCATAGACGGTTTTTTTTTCGAATTTTTAACTTCCTTTATGGTATAATTGTTTGTCACACTTATAGACCCTTTTGAGTATTATTCTTGGGAGACACATTTTAATTATTTATTGTTTGCATGTTTAATTTCTTCCAGATGTGTTACAAGCTGTATATGCCACACATTCCTATCCTATTATAAAAACCCTGAAACTATGCCTTTCCCTTAATGGGAAGACCAAGTTTCACACTCAGGCAACTAAGAAGTAATGAGGGAACATAAACCCACTGAATATTGACCTATTGCAGAAGGGATGCGAATAATAATAAGCTAGATATCACTGATATATTATTAAACTATCAGAATTTTCGACAACATATGTAAATATTGTCTGAAAACTATCTTTTGAAACTGAACGAACGAGTACAGTAATCGAAGGGTAACAGTTACCAAGAACATCAAACGTAAAGATGGAACTGTTTTAATCTTTGTAAAAATTGCAGGATTGAAGCTTAAATTTTGTACAATTTTCACATATTTCATGGGCTCCTTTATATAAAACGCGCGTCGATATTCTGTACCTCTCTGAAGGCAGCAAACAGGAAACACGGATGGCTGATTTAAGCTCAGTTGGACTATCGTATGTTTTCACACTTCCGATGTACATATTCAGACAGCGTTCCTCTTTTTGAAAATAAACCGAGTTTCAAATTTTGTTAATATTTGAAACATAATCTGTGATAATAAAATTTAATTTTTTTTAACGCCAAAGATCTTGAAATTTTTTATAATTGTAATATCCAATATCCTATCAATACAAAAGGAGATCGGTCTGGACTTCAGGACTATTTCTATCTACAGCAGTTTTTACCTAAGGATGGAGACAGAGTCCAGTCTCAGAAACGTCGTATTTGTAACAAAAATCAAGACGTTGGATAACGACCAGAGAGTTCGTTATTTAAACACTACACTATCGCCACAAACGTTCAGATTAGAAAAAAAAGAGCCTTCAGATCGTATGCTTGCAGCCAGCATCTAGTAACGCCCGCACCGAACACCAACTAAGATGTCAAAATCCCTCGTTCTCTGTATAACTTCCCGAAAGAAACATTTGGAATATCGCTAATCCAGTTACTTGCCGGAGCACAAAGCAGCTGCAGTCCCTAATGAGTTTGACCCTAGTGTGTTCTCCTTCTTCCCCTCATCAGAGCAATCGATGGTGGGGCCTCCCCTCGGGCCTGCGGGTAATCACGCGCAAGAACTCCGTTCTCGTGCTGTTTACTAGGTGTGAAATCGGCAGAAAATTGATTTGTCCCTATCTACAATGCAAATTGCCGAGTAGCGAGGAGAAATTCCGGTAATTTGGGAACCCGCCGACAACTTCGAAATAACGAAATGTTATTCAAATTTGAGTCAGCAAAGGCGCATTATAATGGAAATACATGGATATATTCACGCCTCCAGCTCACAGCTTGCAAGTATTCCTCTCTGACACCCGGAAGGTCTCTAGGTTAAATCCTGGGACCGCTTGAAGCTTACGATGAATTAAGCAATAATTCTTAAGCCATAGGTTTACTGGGTGTGGAGCTTAGGCTCCACGGATTCAAAATTTGGATATTGTAGTGTTCAATTTACTCACCAGGGAATGAACTATCAGTGCTTTTTTAAACAGGCTATGGCACATGTGGACTCGGTGATGGAAAACAGAAAATTCTCCTGTCGTCAAATTCGTAGCCAGTTATTTATTGGTTGTTGTTTAAAACAGGTATAAAGAAGTTTCGCTCGGTATTAACGCATAAGACCTGTTGGGCTATTATATACGTGTGCGTTTTCAAATATTTCTATGGAATCTGCTGTCATCATATCTGAGGTTGTTAAGTTCATGTTTATGGTTGTCACTCTCACAGTTGAAATAGTGGTTAGAAGAATTTTCATCTTCGTCTATTGACAAAAATGTTAAACCGATGTGGATTTTAATAGAAGATGCTCGAGGAATTTTAGGATAGGCCCGCACTTTCTATGTCAAATTCTGACAACATTATTTCAGTCGCAGTTGGTTTATTAGGACGACCGACAAGAAGAGAATTACGAAAATGTTAATTTATAGAATCTTAGTAGTAAAATCTGAAGGAGAGAAACAACTTGGGAGAACTAGGTTTAGATGACAGTATACTTCTCAACATTAAAATTAATTCTAGAGTAACTGAAATTTTAGGTTTCTGTGGTATTAAATGTGTCAATAGTGGTCTTCTGGATTGTGAAGCTGTGTACTTTTGTTAGTGTTTTTAGACGTTTCGGAAGAACGTTGGCAACCACACAGCATCACAGTCCAGAAGATTACAGTTTTCTGCAGCTACTGGGTAGAAATACCCTGAAACACCTCCGAACCTTTGATAACCATGTACAAGAATATACATCAAAATCCAGAAGACAACGTTCAACATAATCTTAGAACAGGCCTGAGAGAATATCTGTTAGGATGTGAGCTGACGTACTGTCAACTTCTCATGGATGACTGTTAATTACACATTAGCATCGACAAACAATTGTAAATGTTTATGTATTTTCAATCGTAACACTTTAATCTTTGACCACAAAATTTGACTCTTCTGTCTACAGTTTGTGTGGCGGCCTTCGAGTAAATACTTAACACGTAGCCTAGCAATTTGTTTAATAAGATATGTGCTAGCTGACTTGGCAACTAAGTCGTGGCCTATTCTTTTGACAATGAGTATGAAATTAACCTCGACCCCAGCTCTCAATTAACACATTCCATTAAGATGTTTCATTTTGTGTCGTCATTTATTTATAGTTGGTGGTAGCACGCGTCATATCACATTTGTCTCGAACGTCTTCACAATTTTCTGTGTAAGCTGAAAATTTACCTCTTACTTCGTAAAATATGCGATTGGTAAAACAAAAGTAGCAGGCTGAGCTATGCTCTTTTTTATAAGAAGAGTGTTAAGGCAATATGAATAGACTTCGCGAAGTGATTCCACTAAATCTTGACGTGGGTAATAAAGTGCAATTGTACAGCTCGTAAATCGTTCCTAGTCTCCGTGGACACTTGAGTTACTTCGACTTACCTTTTTTTTATCTCCTATCCGTAGAAGTCACTGTCCTGTTGTTTCAACCATCGCTTCACTACTGTTTTCAAATCATCTTCCGTTTTGACTTCCAGGATGTTGCTTTAACATTGGAAACAGACAAATCCAAATTTAACAACACCGTGGAAACAACAGTGAAAGAACAGGACATTAACTTTTATTGACAGCGGACAGAGAAACTGAGCTCCAGTTGTTACAAGTGTCCTTCGGTAATGTAACGATTATCGGTACAAATAAAGACAATTTACTAGTTTACAGGGATAAAGGATTCAGCGAATCTTTTCAAAGATATTTGCAATGTAAACATAGGCTCCTCTCTGACCTTCATATATATTTGTGTTTTAATGTTATCATTTCATCTTCATCTAGGTCTTTCAAATATTATCTTCCTTTCAGATTGTCCGAACAAAATTTTGTAGGCCTAAGAATTTCTCATCCCTTCCATTGTTGTTTAATTATTATAAATATAAATTTCTCTGCAAAATTTCGATGCATTGATCGTTTCGCCACTGCGGGTCTATGTCAGTGGCCCGAAATCCGACTGACGCTGATTTTGATGACGGTTTGTCATTACCGAAGGTTATGTGTAATAAAGATGAGTCAGTACTTGAGGAATGTATCTCAGAAACTGGCTCAGTCAATTTAACAAAATTTTGAAAAATGACATTTCAGGTTCTAACGGCGACGACTGTGAAAATGGTTGTCTTCTGAGTTGTTGCGCCGTGTAGCCTGGTAGAACTTTACAGACGTTTCAGAGGTGCTTCGTGACTTTATTATCAACGCTAAGAGGCCTTAATCACCCTGATCATGGAGGCATTAAGTGTCTCTGAAGCATCGGCTAAATTTTACCAGACTCTATAGTGCATCATCCCAGAAGACGGCCAAATTCTGATTTCTCCTGACGCAGAATTTGGTAAGTTACTGAGAAAAACACTTAGCTTTAAAATGTGAGAAATTGACTAAGCAAATCTAGGAACTGCATTCTTCGATTGCTGGTTGGGGAAAAAAATGTAGAAATCTTTAGGATGAGCCATCTCAGCACAGCTTTGGTTGTCGCTTAGTACCAAAAGGATTTCTGACTTTGTGGGGGGTCCGTTCAGTCGTCGTAATGACATTGCAGGAGTAGAGTTATGGCAGAGGCTTTATCATGAACACAAGTTTGCGCAAACTGTGGTCAGCGAACCGTATCTGACTAACGGTATAATGGATAAGAAACTGTTTTCATAAAGACAAGCTATATGCAATTGTAAAGAGGTTTCCATGACTGAGTCCACAAAAATTATTTCCGCCCGCTGGGAATCCTTGTATTAATGAAGCCATATTTTCTGTGGGCGTCCCTGATAAGAAATTCTGTCCTTCCAAGATGGGGGTTGTGCAGTTAGGCTGGTAACCCACCCACGTAAAAATCTTTCTTACTCATACACTTATTGATTTTAATAGCCGGATAGATTCTAGAAGATGAAACCCTTTTTTACGAAACTAAATGGGACAGGAGACCTAAATGGGTGTTATTTATAACATACATATTCATATTAGGAGCACGTGTTGCAAATAGGGCCAGGTTTAAGAAACACGATTGTGAAAAAAGGAATGAAGTCAACTTTTGTTGGAAGATTAATGAAAACATACACGAATAAAATTCCAAGTGAATAAGACAATATCTGAAATGCCTAGGCTAAGTAATCATTAAACTTCAGCCAGACTTCACGGCGCAGCAAATCAGAAGACAGCCATCCTCGGACTTACCGCCGTGAAAACCTCATATCCTAATCATTAACCTTTTCACACGTAGGCCTACTTCAAGAATATCTTACAGCACATCTGAAAATTCTTTAAAGCATTTCCTCTTATTGTCTCGCTGTTAAATAGGTGTGACATCTTAACTTTTCCCATGATTCACCAGTCTTAATCTTATTCCGCAAAGTTCTTTGAATCATCTGCTCTTTAGAGCTGATATTCCCATCGTTCCATTTTTGATTCCCATCGTTGATCCTTTTAGTTGATTCCCACCAAAAATACCTGCGTTTTTGTAAAACAAAATAATTTTCTTATTTTTATAAGTATTTATCTTAAATATATAAAATCATGCATACAACAAAAAACTGTTTACACTTTGAAAAACACTTAGTGCCAAACTCGTTTCGACCTCAAGAGCTCATCATCAGTGAGAAAACATTAATTCATTAATTTATATCTTAATTGCGTCATGTTTGTGTTATATCAATACATATATTTATTTTTCCAGTCTATACACAAAACCTGTTTTAAAATAATGTTGTTTAAAATTATTTATAACATTTACAATGTAATTGCATTACATCACGACTTGAAAAAAAATATTTAATTTCACAGATAATGAACATCTAAATGCATACTCCAAATCAAGATGAAGACTGAAAATTAAAAATCAATAAACGCAATGCACAGAAATGTACAATAGTTTTTAAAAATGTATGAATTGATAAGCCTGAAGATGATGTGGTAAACATCGAAACATGTCGTCAAAATTAAAAGCGCTGTGATAGATGTAATATTATACGACACAGAAAAGCGCCATAAAATATAACATAATGCAATTTATATTGTAAATGTTATAAATAATTTTAAACAACATTATTTTAAAACAAGTTTTGTGTATAGACTGGAAAAATAAATATATGTATTGATACATTAGTCTGTCTATTAAATCATACAATTGTTATAAAGCACTGAGCATAAAAAGGTCGCACTTTATAAAACCATACTTTATGCTCTCCGTGACTGTACGTAAGAGATGAAAGTATTAAAATCAGTGTTAGAAAACACATGGTCTTAACCGAACTAACTTATAATAGGCTTTATTAGCTGGTTTGTCTATTGATAATGACGAATCTTGGTATTCCTAAGTAGAAGGAATATTTTATCAGATTGCTTTCGGTAATTATTGGTTGGTCAGCAGAGATTACGTAGGAAATAATATTTGTGATTGGTCAGTTAGTTAACCAGCGCACTACCGCGTGTATTTCCAGAAGGTGGGGATCCCGAAAACTTCCACAAGAACAAAGCGAAGAGAGTTCGGACAACTTTCACAGAGGAGCAGTTGCAGGTGCTACAGGCAAATTTCCAGCTGGATTCGAACCCGGATGGACAGGACCTGGAGCGCATCGCGCAGATTACGGGACTGACTAAGAGGGTCACTCAGGTGTGGTTTCAGAACTCGCGGGCTCGGCAGAAGAAACACCTCCACACAGGCAAGATGAAGACTCAGAGTGAGTTCCACCATCTAGCGTTACATGCCTTGCCCGATGTTTTCTGATGTACCAGCTTTTACATGGAGTGAGAATGAAGAACTGTGGTTAGTTTGCTTTACCTTTCGACCAGTTTACACGAACTAGTTTTAAAGCAGTTACACAGATGTGTATTTGCATATGTAAAATGTTGGATCTGCAGTAAATTCATCCTACATGTACTGGAACTGATGAAGGTCTGTTTATAAAATGCAAATTCTCACGGGGAGAATTTCATTTTGGGTGTTGTCCATCGCGTTGCTAGATACAAGTGGAAAGGTGTGCGTTATTAAGCCTAAAAAGCTTTAATCTTTTAGAATGGGTATTTGTAATTTTCTTTGTGACAAGTCTTGTAGCCGTCTGCCAGCCCACCCCACCGGCGAATTGTAGAAAACACCAGATGTTAAAATTCTTCTCAAGTTATGAAGACATTTCTTACGCTATACCTAAGACAACTTAACCCCTTGAAGAGAAATCTGTTCTCAATAACATTTAAGAATTCTATTTGTAGCTCACAAAAAACACAAGGCTTTTTCTTACAAGGATCAACTTGTCAGTTCTACTTAAGGAAATATTCGTTGTTTACACTGAGAATCAATACAACATGTAGAGTTATTAAATATTAAAGCATATGGTACATACAACTGACTTTTATAGGGTTTGGTAATAGGAATTTTGTTGTTTTATTTGTTGTCGTGAAACGAGAATCCGCGTCGTGTTTCATTATTACTTAAAACATCATAATTTTACATTTGTGCCAGTTAGAAAATGTATAAATACCAAATTTCATTTGCACCTAGGGTTCACGACCATAATTCACAGAACATGTGAAGTTCGACTCTTTTGTTTTAATCTAATTGTGAATTGCTTTTAATGTGGAGTACAAAAGTGCCCTTTGTCACCAAAACTGAAGCACGCGGGGAGTAAAGTTCAAAAATCAAGGCCTTTGGTGGAGATTTCGGCTAAGTCTTTCATGTTGCCAAACACGGACTCTGAGACAGCCGTAGTTTGAATCTCCAATAAAATCAACAAATCTTTGTTCTGAGGACAGGAATTAAATGACTGGGGTGGGTCTTCTGGGCTGTAGCGATCTGTAATGTGATAGAAGTTCACCGGCATTTCAGAGGTCTTTGCTGTCTCCATCATCAGGGTATGGTGATGAAGACAGCAAGTCAGTAAACTTCTCTCAGACTACACGGCGCTACAACCCAACTCGTAGCCCTGAGAACCTCAAATCCCGTTTAGTAACTAGATTCTGAAACTTGAGGAAGTTAGACTCCAACATCATCCTGGCTAGCATGACATCTGATCTCTGTACCAAATGAATGCTTAGTTGTAATAACTGAATTGTTTGGCATCTCACTGTAATCGCTTAATATCCAACATATTATTTGGAAAATAAGGAATAATGCAGTATGAACAATAAAATTATAGAAGAAATTTAAGAGGAAGAATCTTGATGTACTTACTATATTTTTAATTCTATCTATCTTATGGAATGTCTTAATAGTTTAATTCAGTTGAATTGTCACCACATAAGGTCACTATAGGAATTGTAGGATTCGTAACTTGAATACTAAAGGAAAATAGAAAGGTGGGGGTGCCCTAACTCTTTTAACGTTTAGCAATTTTTTAAACAATTAAAAATATTGCTCAGTACGAATTCATGCACACCAAAACCAATGGCAACGAAGTTTCAGTAAATCTGTACGCTGAAGTACAAAATAGATGAAAATAAGTTTTTCATGTCAATCCACACAAAATTTGTTACAGTAGAAACAATTGCTAACGTGTCGTACTTGTTCGTTGTTTCCAGTGCACCACGCCCAAGCCCCACTGTCAAGGGACTCTGACTCGAACACGTTCAGCCGCCACATCAACTTGCACCTCACATACTCGTTCCAGTCACAGCAGTCCGGCAAGACTGCCATCTTCGTTCCCCGCGGTAAGTGCGACTCTAACCTAACTCTAACCTAACTCTAACGTCTCATTCACGCCCTGTAGGCGGCTCTGATACTCATATCTAACTAACTAGATGACGAAGGTTCATCACCGAATTAACCAAAGCCCTCCACCGGACCCTGTCCTGGGCCATCAAAATCCAGTCTCCTTCAACTCCTATCTCCCATAGATCCCGCCTGAGATTATCCTCCCATCTATGTCTAGGTCTCCCCAGTGATCTCTTCCCTTCAGGCTTCCCAACCAGTACCCGGTGCACACTTCTTGCCCCATCCATGCGCGCTACATGCCTCGCCAATCTCATTCTTCTCGACTTAATCACCCTGACAATACTGGGGGAGGAGTACAGATTTTTAAGTTCGTCATTGTGCAGTTTTCTCCATTCCCCATCGTCTTCTCTCCTAGGCCCAAATATCCTCCTCAACACCCGATTCTCAAACACCTGCAATCTGTGTTCCTCCCTCAGAGTGACAGACCATGTTTCGCACCCATACAAAACAACAGGCAAAATTATTGTTTTGTTTATTTAATATTCAGGTTCTTAGAAATCAGACAAAATACTTTGTACTGAGAAATAGCAAGCATTTCCGGAATTTAGTCTCCTCCTAATTTCTTCGTGAATATAATTTTGATTTCTTATTGTTCCCAAATATTTAAACTTTGTAAAACTTTCAAAGAATTTATTAGCCAGCCTAATATCATTCTGCCAGCCTGTCTGCTGACGGGATACTTACATGTATTTACTCATGGAAATATAAAAGGCTCACAGAGAGACATAACAATTTACACACTCATTATGGATTTACAATAGATCAGGTTCCTATTTAGTTTGGTGCAGAAGGCATGAAACCTCTCGAAAAGACAAAGATTGCACTTAAATAGTAAGTGTTTGAATAGCATAAAATATCGTATCGCAGGCGTCTAGATGAATTCTGCAGATCACAGCACAATCTAAATAAATCGTCTTATTTCTGTATGTTGAAGAGTGCCATCTCTTAACAAATGTACGAATTACGTGCGATAGGAAACCGGCCTCCATGCATCCGCCAGTAATGACGGCAG